CATGTTTTGAAATCCCTAGTAGGATAATATGTCAACCGCTTTGTTACATCGTTCTACTATCATATTTTAAGAATACCACACTGGGTCGGAACTTCATTCCATTAAGGTTGCAAATGCACTTACACTAAGGTTGCGTCTAAAATTTGCATAATACTGGTTTGGCAGTACTATTTAAGTTTGTATTTGGTGTCAAAAACTTTTGGTTTAGAACGTACCTACCGAAGAATAATGACGAAACATGTTCGCACGGAAATCTGGAAGATACGTTTTTATTATCATGATTATTTAAATCATAATTATAATCATATATTTAAAGAGATATTCTTACGAAAGTTATTTCAAAGTTGTTTCATTTATGTATACTAGACTAATTATATATAGTATTGCAAGAATAAAAAAAATACTTTTTGAACACTGCATGCGTGTATATACATTGTGTATCAATCTGCTAAAAATCTTATATTTTGACTTATTAAGATTCACTTATAGAAGCAAAGTAGATAATCTACATAATAATGTGCTAATAGTATTGCATAAACAATGCATGCTTCGGTGTTAGTACTAGTATTGTAAACTTTGCGACATCAATTATATATTCAGTTCATACCAGGTATCATAAAGGTTTTTATTATACCTCAGTTATCATTTTCTATATAAAATAAGTACACAATATTTCCACTATTCTTCTATTTGCAAGCGTTGGACTATTTGACCGGTCAATAGTTTCCAACTATTTGCCCTCGATGAAACTGTTTGACCGCAAGCGTCATTATATTTCGCAGAATTTCAACTGCAGCTACGGGATTGGCTAACGGGTTTTTAAAAATTCATTCGGGACTATCAGAATTCATCTCAATTATTAACATCGATTCCTGAGTCGTTCGAACACACACCAAGTCGCATCAGACGATAGGATCATGACTCAGTCAGGGCGATTTGCGTCGCTTTCCGATGGAGATCTGGAAGGATTGAAGCACAAAATCAGTCGTCCAAACTGAAATTTTAAAATTTTTACTTTTAACAAAAGTAATGACAGATCAAATGAATTCGTTGAAATAGTTGTTCTGTTGTTGAATTTATTCTGTAGTTTTTAAAAAAAATGAAGCTTTAAACTTACAATTGCCTGCTTGTTATTGCAATGCATATTTACAATCGGATGATTGTCATCACTGTGAGTCCGTTGTCTCTTACAAATGTAAAAGTGAATTTGGTCAGCTGTGTCGTTCAGTCCTTGTCATAACTTTGTGTCTGTTGTCTCTTTCGGTATACTAAAACACTTACTGACTGGATTATCGTAGAATAGTAAGTTTATTGTCCCCTCGGATACAAGTATTGCCCTCGGCTAAGCCTCAGGGCAATAGTTGCACCTCGGGGGACAATAAACTTACTATTCCACTCATACCCAGTCAATAAGTATAAAATATTGCAATAAATCTGAATATAACATGTAACGACAATACATATATTTTCAAGTACTGCAAAATATTTCGAAATTTCAAATAGAACTGTTTGACTGTATGCTTTTGCAATATGAAAAATGTATTTGATTTGGAAAGTATCAGTTTTTGCTCGTTTTCACCTTGTGATTACACCTTCACACCTATCGCCACACCAAGTACAGTTAAGTACTATAGCAAAATATCTGAATTTAACTTCTTTTCATTTGTGCAATATGAAATTTATTCGACATAATGTTTTGTCTTCAGGTTATGGTCCGATAGTGATTCATTTGTGGTTATGAAAGCTTTAAAAACTCTTATGACAGACTAATAGTGGTATAATCTTGAATTTTGAACCCTCACAACAAACATAATTTGATTTATGTCCGGTAATCATTTTTTGTTATAAAATATGGTTATTATATATGTTTAAATTCTTATTGTCACCAAAGTAAAGTTCATGTCTTAATATCATTAAAGACGGTGCGTGTTGTATTCCTACTGTGTGTGTGTGTGTGTTTTTTTGTTTTTTTTTGTCAACTAACCCTACAAATATCGAGATGGTGCATAATATATGTTCTTGTTAAGTCAAAATGTAGAGTCAGGCATCGAATGACAGTTTTTGCAAGTAACGTATATTTGGAGTCTTGACTCATGCACATCTTCGCTGGTTAATTTTATAATTTAGGGAGCCAGGGATATAAGTGTTATGCCTAGATTATATTGGTTTATGTTTTATGTAATTTAAGTTGATGATTTCATATAAATTCTAAATATTTAAAAAAAACTTTAAACTCAACAATTCTGCACCTTTGTCAAAATAACTTTTAAGGTTAAAAAAAAAAGGTTCGAAAAGCTGGAACAAACTGTGACACTCTTTGTTTCTAGTTTAATATTAGATGAAGGCAATATTTGCTTGCTGTTGTTTATCTGAAGATAAAACATTAAGACCATCTTTACGATACGTATTTTACTTGTTATGATAATTTTCCATTGAAACATATACATGATATAAATCAACAGTCTTGTTATTAATGATTAAATCGAGTGTCCTTTTTATTTCATAAGTAATTGATTTGAACAGATTGTCGATGTCTTTTCATTTCAAATATTTAACTGCTATAATATTTTCTGCATGTTACACATAAAAGTTGAGGTTTGTATATCTATATGAATGGTTCTTTCATGTTGTGAGAGAATATTGATTTTATGTGTTTTGTATAGACTGTGAAATATTGAATCAGTTCTTTCATCGTTTCTTTTTTCACAGTTTCTTTTCTGTTTGGAGATCAGGTTTTAATATATGACATTAAATGACTGTACATATTTAAAAGTGAAAAAAAGGGATGATTAACTCTCACATTTTACTGTTATATATATATGTGTGTGTTTAACGAATTTATAAATGCCGGACTTGACAAATAGTGTTCTTTCAGTAAGTTTTTTGTTAATTATATATTTGAAATAACCATGTCCTTATGATATTAATAAAACACTGCAATCTGACAGTATATATATATTTTATATATTTTATGATTAAATCGAGTGTCCTTTTTATTTCATAAGTAATTGATTTGAACAGATTGTCGATGTCTTTTCATTTCAAATATTTAACTGCTATAATATTTTCTGCATGTTACACATAAAAGTTGAGGTTTGTATATCTATATGAATGGTTCTTTCATGTTGTGAGAGAATATTGATTTTATGTGTTTTGTATAGACTGTGAAATATTGAATCAGTTCTTTCATCGTTTCTTTTTTCACAGTTTCTTTTCTGTTTGGAGATCAGGTTTTAATATATGACATTAAATGACTGTACATATTTAAAAGTTAAAAAAGGGATGATTAACTCTCACATTTTACTGTTATATATATATGTGTGTGTTTAACGAATTTATAAATGCCGGACTTGACAAATAGTGTTCTTTCAGTAAGTTTTTTGTTAATTATATATTTGAAATAACCATGTCCTTATGATATTAATAAAACACTGCAATCTGACAGTATATATATATTTTATATATTTTATCATCATATACCTAGAGTAAATAACTTATAAATTTTACAGTATGAGAATAGCATTAAATTTACGTGCATTCCATATTTTCCGAAATGGTGCTAAGTGGGCTGATATGAAAAAAATATCAACTGCTTCCGGTTATTATCGCATGCCTTTCCGTAACGTTATCGCATGGCATTCCGGCGTCACTCGGCAAATTCCGGAAAATACACCTCAATGGTACGTTTTCATTGAAAAACATAACAAAGTAGGGTACAAAACAAATATTAGGAAACAGGAAAATATAGTATGTAATAAGCAAAACAAATGATACAATAAATGCATTTTTCAAAGTTTTAAAAATAGTTCTTGTCTGTATTTCTTCTGCTGAAGTATATGATAAAAAGATCATTACATGTCTTTTTTCATTATGTATTGTTGAATTTTTTTTGTATCGTCTATATACAAAAATAGTATATTGTTGTTTTCTCCTCTGTTGAGGCATATGATAGAAATATTTCATATCGGATGTATTACATTTGTCGTCCGTCGTCCGGAAACTTTTCACTTTTTGAACTTCTAATTGAGAACCACTTAAAGGATCGATATATTGAACTGTTTCTCCATTGTTGAAGCATATGATAAAAAGATCATAACATTTCATTTTTCATATCAGATGTACTATCAGCCCTCGGTCAATATCAGTCCTCGAGCCTTTGGTTCTTGGGCTGATATTGAACCTTGGGCTGATAATACATCTGATATGAATAACGTTATGTAATAATCTGATAATATTCAATGTAAAGCAATTTACTTATCACCAACTGTTTTCATCACACAACAGTTTGTTGTCGATGATCATTAATTGCATATCATAATACAAGAGAGGCGAAAGATACCAAAAGGATATTCAAACACATAAGTCGAAAACAAACTGACAGTGCCATGGCCAAAAACGACAAAACGAAGAAAAATCAAACAACAGTACACAAAACACAACATAGAAAACTAAAGACTGAGAAACACGAAAAAGATATTCTGCGGGGTGACTGTGAAATTAACCCAAAAATCTAAATGCAAACCAATTGCTTAGAGTATATAAAAAAATATGTATAAAAAAAAACAACCACCGAATTACAGGCTCCTGACTTAGGTCAGACACAAACATGATGTGGCGGGGTAAACACGCTAAATAAAATTTGATTCTTATATGTATTAACATTTTTAGTTTCTTCCGATAAGTAATAAATCGAATATATGATAAATATTCTACAGAACAATATTACCTTATTCTAATGTAAAAGATATTATTTGTTTCACTATACAGAGACTGCAATAGTTTAAATATATTGCAAGCTATCTTGATTTATTATGAATTATGTAGACGTAACATTAAGATGTTGTTACATGTGGCTAAATTTTTTGTAGTTTTTGTTTATTTTCTTTTTGCTCTGCCATAGGATTGTGGCTTTATATTATTGTCAGCTGTTATGTTTCGTCTTCAGTGACGTTACTGGTCGATCATAATTCCTTGTAGCTTTTTTACATTTTCAGAGAGATGTAGTCTCTATTTTATTGCCAGCTGTTTTGTTTCATTTTCAAACAGACACAAGACTCGTTCTGTTATAAGCTTGTGATGTTAAATACTGGAGAGCATGGCATCTTTTTGGCGAATATAAGTTAGCACTGCTATTATTTCTTCTGTCGGATAAAGATTACATTTCGTGATCATACTTTAGAGACTTTCACGTGTTACCTTGTACAATTAAGGACATTGTACATGCAAGTATAATGATCTATTCATAGGAAGAAAGGGTTGTAAAGATTACTGACAGATGGGGATCTTGAGCTGCAAATCGCCTTCATCTACAGGTTTGTGTGCAATAAATTGTGTAAATCTTTTACAAAGTCTGTAGAGTAATAAGCTAAATGCAAATGTTAAATAATCATAATTTTTTAATATTTTATTTTTGTGGTAGAAAATGTTATTACAAAAATAGGTGATCGAACTTGACATTTATCAGTTGAAACCTTACCTTTATTAGTTCATGGTTCACATTTTTCATGCCCAACTTTGGAAGTGAGAAATGACAAATTAGAACGGAGAAATATCAAGTTGGAAGTAAAAAAACGCCAACTTAGGACTGAGAATTTTCAAATTGAAACAGAGAAATGTCAAATTAGAACTGAGAAATGTCAGGTTTGATATGAGAAATTTTAACAACAGAATGTCCCTACTGGTTTTTCGCATTGTTTTAACATAAAAAAAGTGCATTTTTGGTTTATTTTCTTTGTATTTTATATTTGTATAGTTAAATAATCCAATATTGTTTTAGATGTGGTACATATGAAGAAGACAACACCAACAATGCTGGATAAAAAAGAAGGTAACATTAAATAGTGCTTATAATTTCTTCTTTATCATGTCATCATCACAGATATTTTTTTGGGGGGAGAGGCCCTGAAGATCAAACAAAAAAAACTGAAATGTAAGCTCGAAAACCAACTTAATTATGATCCCTCCTCAATCATTTCTGGAAAAAAAATCTCTTCAGTGGATCGCCTCGCATGACCATTATTTTGCTTTATAAGGCACAGTTGTTTTAAACGATTTAATTATTCAAACGGAAATTTTCGGTGCAACTACTTCCGTCGTGACTTGGACAAATTTTCTTTCAGGGTAATTGGGGGGTTAATTGTCTGTCCTTTATGGACACCAATATAGATCCTTGTGACCTATTCCACATTTACCATTAATTCGCTCATTTCCTAAGAGGTACATCCAATTAATAACATATTATGAAGCAAAATGAATGCGCTGTTCTTAAATTTATTATCATTGGTTCGATAACACTGCTGGTACATTGTCAATGCCAAATGGTATCAGTTCCCATGTAGTCAATGTTTCTTCACTTTGTTTTATCTAGACACTATATTTTTATTAATTCTCTGCTCATATTTTTCAAATATTATCAAAATTGAACTTTAATCATTTCGAGCATTTGTTTTTTAAATCTCTCTTGCATAAACAGTGTCCAATTTATTGCGTCATCTTCATCATCCTCAAACTTTGGCTATGAGTGTATCTGACGGTAAATCATAAACTGGTTATTGAACGTACATTATTAATTTTACTTTTCAAGTTGACCGATTTAAAGATAAAAATATTCTTTTTTTATTTTGTTTATTTTACATAAGATGGTGGTTTAGTCTTATATTTCGAGCATCTCGAAATACGGATGCTTTCTATAAAATCACAATATTAACAACAAGATTAATATGAACCACATTGCAACAACAAAAAATCGATTGGTGTCGTCGTTCAATTCTATTGTCTGTGATTGTGCGTATTAACCACAACGACCATCTACACTATGAAATGCAATCCCAGATTCAAGATTTTTCTTTCAGTGCGCACATCACGTGGGTCTAATTTTACCTTTTTAGGTACGCCCAACAAAAGACTATTTTTTTAATTCAAAAATATCAAATGTTATGAGTCTCAAATCCAAAATGGTCATAACAGAACTGAACATTAAACGTCAAATTTGTCTGGAGGAGTTTCAACGATAGTTGTAATACTAATTACATAATTATACTCTTAAATAAATATTCGTCTGTTTGTACATACAAAACACTTCTTACAGGTTGAATAAAAACCCTTTTTGGGACTTGCGGCCAAATAGGAACGATACTGACCAGAAGATGATGATATAAACCTATATAATTCTGATCTCAGTGCAAATGACACGTGTTTCTGAAAAAATACATACAGATAGGACCAATATATACAAAAACATGAAAGCATAATGGGTGTTTACTGATTGGTAAAGAGCAATTTGTCTGAATGAATTTCTACCTGTTTTTGTACAAAAAAAGATATTTCATCAACTGAAAAGCAGGAGGAAACAAATAAGAGTTGGGGTGTAATAAATGCCTTTGGTTAGCCCCTGCAACTAAACACATAAATTTCTTCCATCTTTTTGACGGTTTTTATTATCAATGAAAAGGATGATGTTATTATGGGAAATTACGAGAAATGTCAGAAAGGATGTCATAATGTCATTAACATATCAAAATGAAAAATTTCAACTAAAATGTTCACTTTTGACATACAGGTTTGTAATTATTGTTAGATATGCGCAACAGCCTTCACCAAAACGGTATTTTACCATTAACATCTAAGTATAAGACATCTTGTAGAAAAAAAAGTTTTTAGCAAAGTCTATCGATTAACTAAATACTAAACAAAAAGCTCTAAAAGAATCATTTATCAAGAGACACTTACGATATATACACAAAAAAAACACGTACACCAGATTGCGGTGTTACAAGTTAAAAAGCACACCTTTAATTTACCGGCACATTTCATTTACCTATTTTTCGTTATCTTTTCAGAAACTGACTATCCAGAACCAACCCAAGGGACAAAAGAAACTGACTTTCCAGAACCAACCCAAGGCACAGTAGAAACTGAATATTCAGAACTAACTCAAGCGACACTAGACACTGCCTATCCAGAACCAACACATGGGATACTTAAAACAAAAGATGGTGAGAAATTAATCCCTTTGTTAATTACTGAAACAACTAGCAAAATACATGCTTCCGTTAAGTTATATCTGATCTGATGTAATCTACAAAGTAGTATCTCTATCAAATAGATATGTATCACTGCGTTAATTTTAACATTGACAGATGCAATAGAGATAATTTTGGAATATTCGGTGACTGGTATTACAAAAAGAGTTGTCAGGATACTAGATATATCGACACCTACACATCTCCAACCCGGAAGTAAAACACTTCTTAAGATGCATTCATTCGGATGTAATTGATTTATGAATACGATGCAACGTCCATTTTAATTTGATGATATTGCCACGCTCTCTGCATGTCAAAGCCTCCCCCACGCAAAAACCATTTTAGGGGGTGTTTAAAACAAGACAGAATATACACCCCTATACGACAAACCCTGTTCTGTTTTAATATACGTCACTTGGTCTCGGTAGGCTTACTTGTAGAACCTACCTTTCTGATTCATAGATAAGATTTCTCGTCTTGAATATGCGTGAAATATTCGCCACTGGGCGAACAATCAGTTAATCAATCAACGGGTAATATCTGTACAGTAGCATCGTGGATAACAGATTAATATACATGTAAGCACTTGTTGCTTGTTTCTGAATCCTATTCGCCAGAATGTAAATTTATATTGTTTAAGATGTATCTAAATTCATAATAAAATATTTTTTACACTAACAGATAATTATATGTCCTGTCAATTTTTCAAGCACTCTAAGGGAGCAAACTATTATTGAAAGTCATTGTTAAATGGGGTGGCTGTCAAGATGAGAATTTAAACAGAACAGTATAACCCAGTTATATTCCATTTGACTACCGCTTTTTCAACTACTAAATAGTACAAATAAACTTTGGAAATGATAGTATTATGTGCTTTATTTTTCTGTGTTTTTTTGTTCTATTTTGGAGGGATTTTTTTTTAATTTTTTTTATCTAATTACGTTTTGTGTGTTCTGTTTGTTTTGTTTGCTGATTTTTTGTTTGTTAATTTGTATTTGCTTTTATTTTATTTAAAGTAAAATAATTGGTTTTTTTAATTATGATAAAGTTTCCTCCACACTGTCTAAGATTTTATGCTTATTAAGGGTAAACCTTTGATCGGTCAATTGCTACCTGCAAAAAAATAACTCATGAAAAAGCTGAAGAATGTTTATACACACTTTATATTTCAGCTTCCAGTCAAACACCAGAATTGCGAAGATCAACTAGAGGAGAAAACGGCAGAATGGAAGGTAGTTTTCAAATCACAACAAAAAAGTGCTACCAAAAAACATTATGGGCGAACAATTAGATATATTGATCAAATTAAATTTAAATATTAAGACAGGGACAAACACCTTATATATGGCCAGAATAATGTATTGCCGGTTTCTTTACTTCACATAACACCTATAATAAAATTGAGAATGGAAACGGGGAATGCGTCAAAGAGTCAACAACCCGACCAAAGAGCAGAAAATAGCCACAGAGCACCAATGGGTCTTCAACACAGTGAGAAAATATCGCACCCGGAGGCGGGCTTCGGCTGGCCGCATACTTTATATTCAATAATTTAGTTATTCACATTAAAAAAAAATCATCCGCTTATCAACGATATTTCAATTGCAATTTGCCAAACAATTGGTGTCACTAGTGGAACAGTATCTGCTTACCTCTCGGAGCACACGAGATCACCCCAAATTTTGGTAAGGTTTCCAGTTGCTCAGTCTAATTTTGTCTGTTTAAGATTTTTTACTGTTCTCTTTCATCTGTAAAACATGTGTAAATTGTACGTATTACAAAGTAGAAGTATTAATTGAGATAGCATACTACAAGGGAGAAATTCTATTGGATGCCTAGTACATACAGATGATATGTATGTTTTTTGTTATCATGTGATCATACGTAAAACATACGTGATGCACATGTTTTACAGAGGCGGATTTAGAGGGTTTTTCAGGGGGCCCGGGCCCCCCCCCCCCCCCCCCCCCCTTTGTGGAAAAAATTTGGTTAATTATATAGGGAATCTCTGAAGCATGACTAGAACGGGCCCCCTCTTATGAAAATTTCTGGATCCGCCACTGTTTTACCTAAAAAACAATATTTTATTTTCTTAAAGCTCATACTTAAAAGATTTACTTTTTAGACGAAAAGGAATCTGACTCCGAGGAGGGTGATTTTATCCACGTAAAAACAAGAGAAGGTAACTACATGATTTATGTCAGAATCATTTTTTTATTAAAACAATTGACCTCTCTTTGTATGGTTTGAAATATTGTGACTTGATTAAATAGTCTTCCACATTACGTAATATATACTCTGGTATATGAAACGGATACAACTTGTTTCATTTCTATTGAAAAATAGAACTGAACAAAAATGTTGTAAATAGTACCGTTAATTATTTGTATAGAAGTACTCATTACCAGTATAAAAAATAATTTTTCGTAATAAAGTCATGCTACTCTTTACTAACATTTCCGATGGTTTTTCATCCTAATTCTATAACTTTTTATGTCAGTACGTACGGTAAACGTTACTTGATGAATAAAAAGTCTTTATATTTTATTTATGTCTCGTTTCAACACATAGCAGGTGTGTTCGAATTCTACCTTGATTAACTAGGATTGTCAGTTTTCCGGCCGAAGGTCGATGGTTCTCTCCGGCTTCCTCCATCAATAAAAACTGACCTCCATAATATAGACAAAAGTGTTGAAAGTAGCATTAAACACAAACAATCAATCAATCATTCATGTTTACAATCATTGAAGATGGATATCTGATTTAATATTTTAACCCTAAAAAATGAAATATAGGTGTAAGACGTTTGGTGTTTATGTCAGATCTTCATTAGTTTCTGTCACAGCCTTTTTTAGACTGTGTTGACATATCAATTAGACATCCGTCTGTTGTGGAAGTCTGTTGTATAAGACATTTGGATATCTCTTGGTTATTTGTATTAGGTTGATTGCTGTATCATTGATGTACTAAACGTATCCCTTACATCTTTCTTCATATTGGCCATACGAGAATGATCTATTTGATATTACAGCTTCAAGTCAGACACCAGAAAGGCAGTCGTCTATTACAATGTTAATGCAAGAGGAACGAGATGAAGGTATATATCATAAGTTATAACTATCATATTCAACAGCGCTAAATTCAAATGCAATGTTCTCTCTCTCCGTACTCATTTATGTTTCCTTTTGTTGAAATTGACAAAATTTAATTACATTTTTCTCCTTTTACTCCTTTCGTTAATCTTATTTATTTTTACTTTTGATTTAATTTTTGACACAATTTTCGTTTACCGTATACATGTATCTTGAATACAACAGAATTACAGTTGAGTTGGTATTTAGAGTAATTTCACAGAAACAGTTTGGTTTTCTAATGCAAAACGCAAATTCATCAGCATCAAGGAAAATATGGGGTAAAATTCAATACAACATCAACCCAATGACAAAAATGAACTAACAACATCTGAAAAGTAGCATACAGTTTACCACGATAGTTTATATGATATGTCATATCAAGTCCTTTAGTCTTTAAAAGTTAAATTTTTACAAACTTAAGGACAACAATCAAAGATCTGTCATCAACAATCAATTCATAAAATAAAGAAATACATGAAGATATATTATTAATATAAAAGTTCATCAAAGATACCAGGCTTATGGCAAGGCGTTTTACTATGTATTCTAACTTCAAGCGGCTATCTCATATAAAATATAAGATATCTTATAAAGAAAATTATATGAGATAATTTATAAATTATATGAGATATCTTATAAACTATATAAGATATCTTATAAACCATATAAGATATCTTATAAACTATATGAGATATCTTATAAAGTTTATTAGATATCTTGAAGTTAGAATGAATAATAAAACGACTTGCCATACAGGCCTATAATATTGTACGCCAGACGCGCGTTACGTCTACAGAAGACTCATCAGTGGCGTTTGAAATAAAACAGTTGGAAGATCAGATCAATTACCGAATTGAAGAAGGAACCAACATTTTCAAACAGATGTGCCAAATACAGCTAAGGCAGTCGATGCCTACGAATAGAAAAATCTTAGTATTTCGAATAATCCAAAGTTTTATAAACAGTAAATTTACCGAAAATGATATTTTGAACATATCAAAAGTATTTCATATCAACACGGAAGTGTTGACTCCTGGGCTGTGATACCCTCCGGGACGAGGCTTATAATTGTGTATGCATGACGCGTTAAAACTTCGACTTAGAATAGGCGCATATGTGCATTAGTTCATGTATGTCGCGAGTTTAATCTAGATCAGTTGACCTAACTATGACTGTCATTTTCGTATTTTGGTCAATTGAATTGTGTATCAGACACTGCAGAAAAAGACTTCGATGACAACATAAATGGCCACCTTCTGATAGGTTCTACACATATGTGTAAAAGGTGTTTTATAGATAAATCCATGGGACGCTGCTTTTTTGTTGAATTTCTTTCTTCAAATAAACCATTTAAACAATGCCAAAAGGTTAAAATATCGCTTTACATTTGACATTATATGTTTTACTCCTCAACTAGTACTGCTTATCTAGAAAATCTGCAGTGCCAAAAATACAGAAAGTTTGAGAAAAGAAATTATCTAGTACCAATTGAACTTAACTTTTTATGCACGTGAAACACACAGTCAGATAAGTATTATTTGACCTGTTTGTTTATTTGTTCTTTGTGATCTCTTTTCAGACTCAGCACTCAGATCTCGAAGTCAATGCCAGAGTGTAGCAACTCCAAAAAAGATAGAAAGTAACTAATTTTGTTAACTTCGACCTTTGTTCAATTTTTATAAAAACAATCAGTTGTGAAAGATGGTTAATTAAGACTTAATTATGTCACTTGATTTCACCCCTATCCCCTTATGTTTTTGTTAGTGGGGCTCACTTTTTATTGTAGGTTTTAGTAGAATGTTTTGGATGCATGTTCGTCCTTTTTCTTGTTTTCCTTTTATATGTCGGTTTTTGTATTATTTAAGTCTTTACGTAGGACTTTTTATAACAGTTTTTGTAAGAGTTCTTTTACTGCTTTGCCTATTATTTCTTATTCCGTAAGTATGATCCTTTTTCTATGTTATAAACGCCGGTCTTTTTTATTTTGCCTATTATATCCCTATTCAAATTATCATGATTTTACGTAATGGAAAGAAATTAAATAACAACCCTTCTTCTAGGATATCCACGTGCTTAAACAAACGTATTTGTATTTGTAATGCCTCTGCAGCCAGATTGTTAAACAAAAATGCAAGTGGATATCCACAAATTTTCCCGTGCAATGCCAAAAAATGACTTACCTGTCTTAGATTAACTTCACAAAATACTGTTAGGTCAACAGTGAACGGGAGAGCTTTTTCACTCTCCTTTTCTTGTGACATTAACTGAAAAACTCAAAACCTTATATATGTGGTAACTAGAACCCAGCCTAAGTGTGGTATTCAATATGTGGGACAGACGGGAAGAGAATATTACAGAAGAAATCGAGAGCACCTTTACCGCTTTCGAAGACCTAAAAAAATCAAAAGTTTGATATACCATCATTTAGATAAGCATAATCATAATCTAAAATTTATAAAATTCAAACCACTTGAAACCGTTCAGAAACAACCAGGACAATCACACAAACAATTTGAAAAATCCCGTGAAGTTCGCGAACTATTTTGGATAAAAAGACTGAATTCAAACAGCTTATCCTCTCGGTCTCAATGACAAACTATTGGGACAGGGGAAAATATCTAAAACTTCTATCGATGTCATTTATAAGAAATAATAGGTCTCATGGTAAACGTATTAAACATCGTATAACTTATACACTTGCTGATCTGTTATCTATATTAAAAAATAATGGTAGACATCAAGTATTATGTAAACTGGGTCATATACCAATAAGTAAATTATATGCTATTTTTCAGGAGTGTGATAAAATTTCATTTTTTAGCCCGTTGTATGAATACACCCGTATTATTACAGCCTTTTGTCATCACAGGCTGTTTCCTAGTATCGATAAACCTGAAAATCATAAACAGCATTTTCTTAAATTAAAATATATAAATAGAGGCATTGATTTTATTAACTTATCTAGTATATTCAATGACTCTACCATCCATAGTCAAATACCTCCATATTTCGATAATACAGAACCACCTATTATTTCGTATTCTATAAAAAAACCAGCAGAAGTTTGATTTTTAATTATACGTCAGATACAGCAGACGTCAATATCGAAAATAATGCTCCTTCCACTCGAGACTGTGAAACATCTAGTTTTAGATATGTTCCCTATGGTCATGTCATTACAGGAGACCTCAACATCGTCGAAGACCGTGAGGTCAAAACTTTTCTTAAGAAAGGACCTAAATATCGTCCTCCATCTATAATAGATTGAAAACAGTGTCGTCAGGTCATTAAAGACGCTTTATCTGCCTACTGTAAAAATTGGTGTAAACGTGAAAAATCGGATAAAAAATCTCTAGACAGTTATTTGAATAAAATTATGAACACTATTAATATTCGTATATCTCACTATGTACTGGTTACCTAAATTACACAAACAACCATTTAAATTCCGTTTCATCTCCGCATCTAGTAAGTGTTCTACTACTAACCTGTCAGTGCTTCTAACTACCTCCCTTACTACTATCAAATAACTAGTACATAGTCGGGACTTTCAAATGTTCGGAATAGGCTTTAAGCTGGGTAGTGGCAGTGATATGCTCGTTTACAATTTGACTCTCTGTGGAGCGTACGGACCTGAACGTAGACGATTTGATAATTTCGTTTTGGAGAACTTCCGCGTAGTATATGCGTCACACCACCACTACATTATTGGCTGCTTTGTCTGCCGGTACGCACACAATCCGCTTTGCGAGTACTTGGAGTTTATTTTTTATTCTAGAAATGGGTATATTATCGACCCTATCATTAATTTCAGAATTGTTTTCAAAATGAGATATAAATACGAATATCAACAGTATTCATAATTTTATTCAAATAACTGTCTAGAGATTTTTTATCAGATTTTTCACGTTTACACCAATTTTTACAGTAGGCAGATAAAGCGTCTTTTATGACCTGACGACACTGTTTCCAATCTATTATAGATGCAGGACAATATAATAAAGCTTATGAAAATAATGGTATTAATTATTTTTGAAGTGTTAAACATTCATTAGAGGTTTTAGATAAAATACGTGCTTTTGACGGTCCTTTTAATTCTGTTTGACAGTTATGATTTTTCTACTCTTTACACTACACTTCCACACAATCTTAAGAAGAAAACGTTTTTATATTTAATTAAATGGTCTTTTGAATAATCTCACTGCAAATTTATTTGCTGTAACTTGTTTAAGGCCTTTTTCTGTAACGAAAAAGGAAAGTATGCTATGTACACTTACTGGAAATGTGGAGATATGATTGTAGCTTTAAATTTTCTCCTGGACAACATACATGCACGTTTCGGCGATAAAATGTATCGACAGTTAGTAGGTATTCCTATGGGCACTAACTGCGCCCCTTTAATAACAGATTTATTCCTGTATTGCTATGAATCTCAGTTCATGACCAAACTCAGTAAAGACACGTCATTGTTACATTTGGTTGATACATTCAACAATACCTACAGTTATCTTGATGATATTTTTTCGTTAAATAATCCAAAGTTCTCTAAATATACTACCGAAATTTACCCAAAGAAACTTACTTTAAATAAATCTAACATAAACAGCAGTAGTTGTCCTTTTCTAGATTTAGACATTTAAATTTTTAAAGGGAAAATCCATACTAAAATTTACGACAAAAGAGACGATTTTTCATTCCCTATTGTAAATTTTCCCTTTTTAGACGGCGATGTTCCTTTAACTCCATCATATGGTGTTTATATATCCCAACTCGTTCGTTATGCCCGTGTGTGCAGTGATGTCATAGATTTTAACGAACGTAATCAATGCATCACTGGTAAATTATTAAGTCAGAGATTTCGTTACCATAAATTGCTTAAAACTTTTACTAAATTCTTTCATAGATACAAAGATTTGATTAGTAAATTTGGCTGTACCTGTAGAAAACTTATTAAAAACGGTATTTCACATCCTACATTTTACGGTAATATTGTACTAAAAGCGCGGAAATCACTATGTCGTCCGTGAAAACTCATCGAACCTTTAAACAAACTTATTAGTAAAGGTTATCTTACCAATGTTGTAATTAGATCTTTGAATATAGTTTACATTGGCACAAATATCGATTTTGTCATCAGCAGATTAAAACATAACTAAACTTGTATTCTTTTCAAACGGTTTTTTGGGATGTATAAATACACATCCACGTTTATTTTCTATATAGAGATTACTCTATCTGTACATTACATTATACATATTTATTAACATGTTAACTCCTAAATTTCCTACTGCCTGTCGATACTTTTATTTTGGCATTGCACAAGTCATGTCTTCTTTGACTGTCCATGACGTTAAAACTCTAAATCCCTGGGATGTGTTTTAGTTGATTTGAGTCTCTGATGCATGATTTTTTATTATTAATTGGCTTTTAACTAGCTTTCAGTAACTTCGAGTACTCTCAAACCGTTCTTTCGTGTTAATTTTACCTGTTGATACAATTTGTAATGTATTTTTATTATTTAATGTTTACTTATTCAGTGTTATATCTAGTCTCACTATTTTTAATATATACCATCTTTGATAAGTGTTAAATTTGACGATAAATTTTCACTTTTGTTCTCGTACTAGGAACGACAAAATTATTTATTTTGTAAAAATTATTTCCGTACTCCATGTGTGCCTTGCAGCAGGATTATTTTTGTTTGTCTGTGTACGTTATTTTATTTTGCGGCGTTTTGTCCAGGGTTGTGGTTGTCTTTCTGATATTGTTAAACATCTAACCCCCTTGTTATATTAGTTTTGTATTTACATTGTGTCGTGGATCAAATTAGTTCGTTCGGTGTATGTTCACTTGTTTTTGTTGGTTTGTCTTTTGATTGGGTTGAGCCATTTCGGTTGATATTTAATAGTGTGTCTTTCTATGTTGTGGTGTTGCACTGTTGTTTCGGGTGGGGTGGGGTTGGCGCTTGTTAAGGCGTTTGGGCCCACTGCGTTTGTTTGCGCCTGTCCTGGATCGGGAGCCTGATGTTCGGTGGTTGTCGTTTGTTGATGTGGTTCATGGGTGTTTCTCGTTTCTCATTTTTTATATAGATTAGACCGTTGGGTTTCCTGTTTGAATGGTTTTGCACTGGTCATTTTTGGGGCCCTTTATAGCTTGCTGCTCGGTGTGAGCCAAGGCTCCGTGTTGAAGGCCGTACTTTGACCTATAATGGATTACTTTTACAAACTGTGAATTGGATGGAGAGTTGTCTCATTGGCACTCATACCACATCTTCTTATATCTATTTGGTTGTTCATGTGGGACCTTCTCCGCCTATTAAACTGATTTTTGTTTTAGATAATTATGTTGTTATTGAAATATGTTCTTATTCAATTGCTGGGAATTATTTCAATATAAGGTATGGCAAATTATGATATCTATCGTAAGTTTTCTTATTTTGATAGGATTAAGTCTATTCAATTATATTTGTATTTGATAGGGCAGTTGTCTTTGTCGAATTCAATGCATGCCTGAAAGGTATGACAAAAGTATACCTACAAGAAAATAATAATGAAAAATATCATACAAAATTTGCTCGCACCATACCATAAACTGTAACAATAAACGTTATTTTCACAATTAGTTTAGAATTTACAGATAGGGGATTC